ACAGAAAGGAAAAAAATAATAAAGTAGGTGTAAGAAGTATGAGGAAACAGACAAACAGATAAAAGCAAACATAATTAAAGTCTAAAAAGGGCAGGAGAATAGACTAAAATGGAAATAACACTTGAAGAGGTAGTGGCTGATAATTAAATGTAAAGGTAAAACAATGTGGTAATTAAGGTATACTTAAAGATGAACAGAAATAGAGCCAAGTAAATACCAACACATGATCCCCTGATTCATGACCAAGGCATCCCTGCAAATCACTGTGAAGACAGTGATCTTTTCAATAAATGGTACAGAGGCAATTAGTCAGCTATATAAAAAAGTAATAAAGCAAGAGCCCTATCTCATAAAATTAATTCAATGAGAGCAAGAACAGTGGCCTCTAGAAGTAAACACAGGAAACAATTTCATGTCTTTTTTTTTTAAAGATTTATTTATTTATTCATACAGAACTGGGGTACAGGCCAGAGATGCGGAGGGTGAGAGGATTCACCAGAGACAGAGTGGGGAGCAGAACAGTTAGATCCATGAAGTACACTGCTGAGGGGAGCAGCGGGCAGGTCAGGAGAGGTCTGCCACGCCGTGTGGTCACCTCCTGGGCAGGCGGGAATCGAACTCATGCGGAAGTGGCTTTAGCTTCTTTGTGCTGTGCTTTTAACCCGCTGCACCACCAGGGAGGGCCCAATTTCATATCTTTATAGAGTGTAAAGTGATCTAAGCAGAATTTTAACTGTTATAACAACTGACAAATTGAACTTTATTAAAGTCAGGAGCTTTTGTTCAAGACACTGTTACGCGTCTAGAGAAGATTATAGAATAATTGTGACCTCTGGGGCAGTAATAGAATTATTGACACCTTTAGGGGCAGCAGGATTTCTTACATAAAGCTCTAAATGAAAGAAAAAATGTACAAAATAAATTTTGCTAAATCATGAAACTAAATTTAAAGTCTTTTCAAAAGAATTTATTAAAAATTGAAAAAGCAAGCTATATGTTGGAAAAAATATTTGTAACACATCTGACAAAGGACTTGGTTCAGAATAATTTTAACAGATCAATAACAAAATCAGTTTTTAAAAGTATAGGCCAAAGACTTGACAAGACAATTCAAAGTGAAAGATAAATGGTCCATAAGCATATGGAAAGCGATTCAACATTCTTATTAGTTATCAGAGAAATGCAGTTATCACTTTACCTCTAGTCCAGTCACTGAAATTGAGAACACTAATCAGTGGCAAGTGTAGAACATCAGATACTTATATATTGCTGGTAGAAGTCTAAACTGGTAGAAATACTTTGGAAAACCATTTAGCAATTTAAGACCTATGACTCAGCATTTGAACTTCCAGATACATACTCAAGAGAAATGAGTATATATATTCACTAGAATGTGCATAACATTCTTCATAATAACCTTCAAGCTAATCCAATTACCCATGAAAAGGATCAAAGATAAATCAACTGAGGTATAGTCATACAATGAACTGTTAGTCACATTAAACAGTAATTAACTGATGCATACAACAGCAAGGGTGAATCCCTTATTTTGTTGAGAAATAGGAGACACAAAAGACTATGATTACATCATATGACATTAACAAGCATACAGCTAATGAGAGAAGTCAGAATGTGGCTACCTTTGGGAAGTGCATATTATTTGATACGGCGTGGAAAGGAACCTTATGAGTTCTATATTCCCCTGGGTAGTTATTACATGGATGTGGAAATTCATCAGATACCTCAGATTAGTGTACTTTTTGGGTGTATACTTGGTCCTTTGTGTATACATTCTTGAATTCAACCAACCAAAGGTAAAAATGTATAGTATATATAATATACATAATACATAACATAGTCAGGTGTCATTAGTTACTGACCTATATTGAACATATACAGACTTTACATTGGATTAGGTAATCTGATCTAGAGGTAACTACAGAATTTGGTATTCAGGGGTCCTGCAAATAAATCCCTTACAAATACTGAAAGACACCTGTATTCTCACCTCAATTTTAAAAGGACAAAAACCAATTTTCATTACTGAATAGCCATAAACTGGTCACAGCTAAGTAGTGAATAATGTGATATTAGATGATGTTATCTTGAGGCAAAAAGTGGACATGACTGTAAATTAAAGTGCCCAACTTTCTGTAATGAGATTTACAACTCAGATTTTACAAAAATAATTTTCATTGGGAAAAGTAGCTTTCCAGATTGCTATGAAAGTCTTTCGTTAAAAAACAATTTTTAAAACTTAAATTTCAGTATTATTAACTTTTGTAGTTCCTTTCAATAAATTTCTAGCAATAAGTACAGAAAGCTAAAAAAAAATCTTACTACAGTTGGTGTGTATTCACTATATTTAAAAGTTAGGAAATTTGGGAAAACGAAAAGATATCAAAATCACATTTGAAAAAGAATGTCAATAACAAGGTAACCTTTGATATAGGTGTATATGTATATATTTCTCTCTGCTTGCATATCCAGTATATTTCTGAATGGATCATTTTTAGTGTTCTCCTTTTCCCTTAACATGCTGTTATCCTTATGTCATTAAATAGTCTATAATTTTATAGTTGCATGGCACTTCGCATATTGGTAATGGCATACATATATTTATTTAAGCTTTAATGTTGGACCTCTGAGCTTAAGTTGTCTGAGACGCTGTTTTAGTTTTTTATTATTAACATGTATTTTATTTTTTATTGATTTATTTATTCATACAGAACTGGGATACAGGCCAGAGATGCAAAGGGTGAGAGGATTCACCAGAGAGAGCGGGGAGCAGAACAGGCAGACAGACGGAGTACACTGCTGAGGGCAGCAGTGGGTGGGTCAGAAGAGGTCTGCCACGCCATGTGGATCTCCTCCAGGGCAGGCAGGAATTGACTCATGCGAAAGTGGCTTAAACTTCTTAGTGCTGTGCTTTAACTCGCTGCGCCACCAGGGAGGGCCCATTAACATGTATTTTAAAGATCACAAATGTGCCATTAGTTTTGAAGAATTGGGTATGTCTATGCCATGCTAAGAGTTTATTTTTATTATTGTTTTTAAATCTGATTTTTTGGTGATTACTATTGTTTAAAAATTAAGAAACAAGGCCCTCCCTGGTGGCGCAGCGGGTTAAAGCACAGCACTGAGAATCTAAAGCCGCTTCTGCATGAGTTCGATTCCCGCCTGCCCCGGAGGTGACCACATGGCGTGGCAGACCTCTCCTGACCCGCCCGCTGCTCCCCTCAGCAGTGTACTTCGTAGATCTGCCTGTTCTGCTCCCCAATCTGCCTCTGGTGAAGCCTCTTACTGCCCCTGAGCCTCTGGCCTGTACCCCAGTTCTGTATGCACAAATAAATAAATAAAAAAATCTTTAAAAAAAAAAAATTAAGAAACAAGACAAGCAATATATTACTTAAAAGTTCCAGCTTCAGAGATACCACTGTCAACATCTTGATAGTTATTTTAGTGTCAGCATCACCTATGCATTTTTTAAAAATACAGATTCTCAGATTTCACCCCGACTTACTGAATCAACAGTCTTATGTTGTTCAAACTCTTCAGTTGATTCTGATCCAAGCTGAAGCTTCAGAACCACTCTAGGCTTTGGAGAACAGTCTTGTATAAAGAAAGACTGATTATCATAGCTGTGCGTTAAAAGAGGTTCTCTGATAGCTCTGGGCAAGATCATTTAATAGATTATTTTGATGATTTTGGTGTGATTATTCACAAGGATGATGAATAGAATAGAAAACATTTCAACAGAAAAAAAGATGGCTATGAAAAAGATTATTAGAGGTTTAAAAAATATCTGCAGAATTTGATAACTGCTTAGGAATAGAGAGGGGACACAAAGGATTTGAGTCTGTAGGGGGGAAAGCCTTTTAAATGAAAAAATAAGGCAAAGAATAGTTTTTAATGTCATAACATGATATGTTTACATACAAACGTTTACTTATGAAGTGCTTGTCATCCAGAACCAGAACATCTATTGGGAGGTGAATCTGAAGTTTTCCATACTCAACAAGCACTAGAGGCATGTATGTAATTGAAAGTGTCTTTCAGAAAGATATATGTTAAATTGTAAGCAAGATTTGTTTAACAAGTAGGGATAAGATGAAAGGATCATTGAAGGGGTAAAAGTAGTAGCAGTGCTTGGAAAGAGAATTGGGATCCTGGGAAACCATAGCCTATGAGAGTACTTGTTCAAACTTTATGCAAAAGATAGTGTCCTGAAGTTTGAGAGTCTCCTTCATTCTTTCAAGGAAGTCATATTTAGAAAAATAATTGGCCAGAACTAGAATAGAATGCCTTGTAATGCAGAAGACATACATTATTAAGGTGCATGCAGAAAGAAAATAGTAGAAAGTAAAAATTTCCAGTAATGTTTGGAATTTTCCATTTCCAGGGATGTGAAAGGATATAATTATCAGAAGTCAAGAGGCAGTAAACATGTAGTCATTTGAATATCTGCTGACTGTAAATCAGTATACTAGTAGAATATACTTAAATATGATATGTAAAAGTTTGACTGTTTAATTTGGTACTAAATTAAAGAGCATACTGTGTTAATTTGGTGGTTTTCTTGCTCATACTTGTACCAGCTGTAAGGATTATGGATTCAGAAACATAGCTAGCTTTTGTTTTGTGACTAGTCTCAGTTGATCCTTCTGAAAAATGAGAATAGTCTACCTTACTGTCTGTTCTAAAAGCTGAAGCTAATATGTATGTGTTCTCTTACACAGACATACAGACATTCCCCAAATACCAAATATTTTGTTGTTGGATATATTTTATTATTCCTAATGATAGGTATTATAATGAAGAAGCTTTATAGCCTATGATTGTTCTCACATTCATCTGCAATAAATTTCCCCCTGGCATATTTAAATGTCAAGAAACAGAATCATGTCTTCAAAAAATTACTAGAGTTTAGAATTTTGTCATGTTGTTTATATTGTTTATATTAATGTTGTTAATATTGGGTTTTGGGGTTTTTTTTACAGGAAGTACTTAAACAACTACAAGGAAGTATTGAAGATGAAGTTATGACTTCTGGACAGATTGATTTATTAGAGCGCCTCAAAGGTAAATGTCTAAAAAGTATTCTAAAGTAGTTTTAAAGCTCCATATTCTAAAGTAGTTTTAAAGCTCCAGTTGTCAGGTGGAGATTTCTTGATTCACATGTTGGTATCAGTTTTCTTGGAGGTACCTTACCCATAAGAATGTAATTGTTAAAGTACAAATATGTAAAAAGTCTATTTGCTAGTTATGTATTCAGTTGAACACTTAAACTGACTTTGAATAAACTACTTTGGATCACTTACTTGAAAAAAATGTTTTTAAAGCTCATTGCTATTCTGTCAGTCACTAAGTAGGCCTCTGATAAACCATAGAGGGCCCTTACTTCAAAATGTGAAGAAATAATACTCATCTTTGTTCCTTCCAGTACAGAAATGTAGTATCTTCTTACGAATATAAACTGATTATAAAGCATATTTATAGGTTTTTTAAAGGGTATCATTTTCACTTTATTGTTTAAAGATTTGTTTAAAGATTTGTCAATGCCGTGGTCCCATGCTGGGTAGGTAGATTGTCAGTTCTCACAGATGAAAAGATAATTGGAAGCCTTTGCTAGATTTTGCAGTCCTTTAATGCTGCAGCAGAAGACCTGACAGAAAAAGAGACTCCAACACTGAGAGAAGCAGAACAGCAACTTCCCTGGCTAGTCCCCTTTACACTATTAAGTGCCCTTGGCCATACAATCAGTACATTGTTGCAAGGCCCATCTGTTGTTTGCTAGATGTGTGGATGGCGGAAAACATAGTATTTCAACTATGGGCTCCCTGCTGTAGAGAAAGTGAAAAATACCCTGATTTACTCATTTTCCTTTTAAGGTTCCATTGTCAAAACAGAATGTTCTTAATTATAAATGAATCTAGGTGGTGAAATTACCTTTGGGTGCCCATTATTTGGGTGCCACATTATTACCTAGCAGTAATTTAAGAAAGGTCATTTAATCTAATTTTTGTTAAAAAATTCCTTCCCTGGCCCTCCCTGGTGGCGCAGCGGGTTAAAGCACTGCACTGAGAAGCTAAAGCCACTTCCCCATGAGTTCGATTCCCGCCTGCCCCGGAGGCAACCACATGGCGTGGCAGACCTCTCCTGACCCACCCGCTGCTCCCCTCAGCAGTGTACTTCGTCGATCTGCCTGTTCTGTTCCTGCTCTGTCTCTGGTGAATCTTCTCACCCTCCACATCTCTGGCCTGTACCCCAGTTCTGTACGAATAAGTAAATAAATCTTAAAAAAAAAAAAAAAATTCCTTCCCCCTGATTCAAATTGACTTTAGAGGAAAACTTCAGCCATTTTGTTTTTAAATCACCATTTATTTATGTCTATCTGTGGATTCTTTATTTAGAAATTTGAAAAGTGTACCCTTATTAAAGTCTGTGCACTTGGCCATTTTCTGAATATTCCCCCCACCCCAGGCTTGCTCTTTTATTCTTTCTCCTGCCTTCACATTTACCTGGAACCAAGAATAAGTGGGTATCTTTGAGCACTAGCATTTGCAATAAGGATTTCCTTGAATAATTTTGCTACTAACTAACTGCTATAATTTAGTACTACTACAGGTTTCATATACTATATGTAATGTATTTTTAACTATTTTACAATGGATTAAAATTTGAGAACAATATAATTGCATTAACAATATTTTAAGCCAATTTAAAGCAAGTATTATATAAAATTTTGTCTCTGTTTAATTTAGAACTTAACTTAGATAGCAGTAATTTCCCAGGAGTGAAACTGCGGACAAAAATGTCTCTCCGTTCTTATGGAAGCCGGGAAGGATCCGTGTCTAGTCGTTCAGGAGAGTGCAGCCCTGTTCCTATGGGTTCATTTCCAAGAAGAGGGTTTGTGAATGGAAGCAGAGAAAATACTGGTTATTTAGAAGAACTTGAGAAAGAGAGGTAACTTTTCTTTATTAAATAGTAAGTTGTATGTGCCAGTTTTACTTTTATTTTGTCATTCACGCAAGATATGGATTATAAAGCATGTATGGTGAGTGATCAGTAACATTTTAACATTTTCATTTATTCAAAGATAGCATGTTACTGATGGCACTTATATTAAACTGAAAATATAAGTGAGGCAATTTCTTGGGATTCTAAGACTTAACTTTGTCACTTAAATACTTCAACTGCTCTGTACATTGAATAGTACACATAATCACAACTGATGTCTGGTTGAACTAGGGAACTGATTTTTTTTTTTTTTTTTAATGAATTTCTGGTTACCTATTGGATTAAAGTCACTAAATTTTAGTTCCTACATCCTGTATTAAGTGACTGTTTTGATTATTGATACAGGGCAGCAAAATGCATTAAAGCCACAGTTTACTGATCACTGTGATTTTTTTTTTACCCATGTGCACAATTGCAAGACTCTTCAGGCTAAGGGAACAATAACAATGGTACTTATTTAACAAACCAGGGAAAATCAGAGTTACTGAGGCCAAAATTTGCTGTTTACCTCATGCAAAGCAGTGTCCAGTGTTTTCCAGTCCTAAACAAAAGCAGCTAAGATGGCATCTTCTCTACACTGAGAAAACAACTTCTCTCCTGAACAATAGGCCATGTGTCTCTTGCCTCTGCTGACCTGGCGCAGGCAATCTCTAGGACAGGTTCCCAACTAATGAAGGCAACAGAAGATACAACAGGAGATGCTCCCAGAGCTACCTGGATGCCCCGGCACAGCACCAGACAAATGACACTCCAAAACAGAACATGCAGCAGCCAAAGGACCTGATCAGACAGCCACATTCACAGCTCAGCAAGGCTAGCTCTGTGCCTTCACCTTCTCTGTTACACTGTAACAGCAGCAAAACCAGAAATAGTTCAGTTGCTCAGCTAATTGCAATCAGTTACTAAGAGAAGACCTGGCTTCTGAAGGAGGAGGACAGAACCATGTTGTAGTAACCATTAAATATTTAAGGCTCCTTGAGGAAAGGAATTCAACTATTCAGCATCATTATCATCAAGTAGTTCTTAATAGAACTCCCAAAAGGCTTAAGACCTTCTGTGGTGGAAGCCATTCCTGCACCAGAGAACTAAACCATATTACAGTGGTTGAGCCATATTTACCCCAAAACAGAAGTCCTCATAGAGACTACTGAGAAGCTAGGGCTCTGGTGCCATTCAAAAGGAACCTATTTTAGTTCCTGGGCAGACAGCTTCATTCTCTACCCAGGGGTGGATGTAATCAATAAGACTATGGATCCAGTGGTAGCTTTTGCCAAAGTAGCCTTGAATTTTTTATGTAAGGGTTGCTATCAGATTACAATTGCTGGAAAGAGCCCCATATCATATTACTGGAAGACTGGAATTAGGTCTGTCACCACCAAATGTCAATGCCAATAAAGTAGACAGGAATTGAATCTTTAAGGTGCATTTTAATCTGACAGCCAGCAGTCTGGAAGACAGGTGGCTAACACCCTAAGAAACCACCTTAATATTTCATTTCCATCTGCCTTTTAATAGTGAGTTTAACAAAGACAGTTCAATAAGCAGGCCCTCAGTACTGCTAGGACACTGTGAATTCCAGCCCCCAGAGCTCCTTATGACCCCCCTGGACATGGGGCCTTAGGCTCAACCCACTGTTCTGAGACTGGTCTTAAGATAGCGATACAGGGCAGCAAGGGGCACTAAAACAGGTCAAACACACTGCCCAAATAAGTTTACCTGTCACTGTCTAAGTTCTTCAACCATGCGCACAATTGTAAGACTACTGAGAGAACAACAATGCAGTTTATTTTAAAACCAGGGAGAAACAAAGAGTGACTGAGGCCAAAAATGGCCGTTTACCTTATACAAAGCAGTGTCCAGTGTTTTCCAGTCCTAAACAAAAACAGCCAAGATGGTATTTTCCTGCCACTGAGGATGCAGAGCTCCTCTCCCGAACAACAGGCCATGTGCACAAGATGGCGTCTTCCTGCCTCTGCTGATCTGGAGCATGCAGCAGCCAGACTCTAGGCCAGGTTCCAACTCATGAAGTCAACGGAAAATGCATTAGAAGATGCTCCCAGAGCTGCCTGGATGCTCCAGCACAGCACCAGACAAGCAACACTCAAGACAGCAAGTGCAGTAGTTGAACTACCCAACATACAGCCACACTCAACACAAATTAGTGAGGTACCTGGCTCTGGCTCTAGGTCTTTGATTTCTCTGTTGGGCTGTAACAACAGCAAAAACAGGAATAATTTTCACCTGCTAGGCTACTTGAAAAGCTTCCAAACTTTTCCTCTCTGAGGTTGGTTATTGGAGGCCTTTCTGCATTCAAAGAGGCACACAACAGCTTTCTGGAAGATTAGCATGGTGGGGGGCTGGCCTCAAATGTTGAATCCCCAAGACTGAATCAACCCATCCCCCTTCTGCATTCCTTTATATTTCTAATCATTATTCCACTCCCAAAGTGTGATACTTTTTAGCATTTTCCCTGATCATATCAATTCTCACCAGCACCACCTGTAACACTCAATGACTTTAGCTACCAGTTACAATAGCACTGGCTCATTGCACAACATCAGATTGGTCCTTAGGCTGGAAAACTAACTCAGAGCAGACAGACCATAAACTATATGCACGAAGATTTCCTGCTATACTATATATAGTGTCTTACAGGATCCTCTTCCCCCATCCTTCTTCCCCTTACCAGAAGCACAAGACTCAAAGACCCTGAAATAACAATAAAGCCAAAAGTTTATTCCTTACTACATCATGAAATGGTGAGAAACCCTGCATAATCAAAAGAATGTAGCCCTATTTTCTGTTTTATTACTATGACATTAAAATTACATGGTTGCCCAAAAGGCAAGGAGACTTTATAATTTTGGTCATTTAGGAAATTTCTGTTTAGTTTGAAAAAAAAACAGGGAAGCTTTAGTGCTTTTATCCAGTAAAGAACAGGTAATAAGGAGAAACCATACACTAATTAGAGAAGCCCTCTGAAAGTTTTACATTGTTTCAAAAAGCAGAAAGAAAGCAAAGATTAAGTTGGTAGCAATAAAGGAAGGAAGTAACATCTTGTTTCTTTTGTTGCCAAAGTATATGGGAAAAGAAATGGTATCCTTTGGGTATTTGTGGTGTGATTATAAATTACCAACCTCTGGAAGCCAGGTTGGTAAAATGTATCAAAAACCTGGTTAGTCCACTCTTAAGAGTTTTTTTTTTTTTTAAATTACTAGACTCAGAGAGTTTTGTACCAAATATTAATTATAATAGAACATACTCAAAACAATCTGTATATCAAAAAAGTTGGAGATGAATTATTTACTCTAATTAGATTATAAAGCAACCACCTGACATCTTGTTTTTACTTTTTTAAAAAAAGATTTATTTATGCATGCATGCAAGAGCTGGGGTACGGGCCAGAGGTACAAGGTGTGAGATTCACCAGAGACACTGGGGAGCAAAACTACTGAAATACACTGCTGAGGGGAGAAGCAGGCAGGTCAGGCAAGGTCTGCTGTGCTGTGTGGGTCACCTCCCTGGCCAGGGATCAAACTCATGCTGCAGTACCTTCAGGTAGCTTCACATTGCTGTGTTTCGAGCCGTAGTGCCACCAGGGAGGGCCCTATTTTCACATTTTATAATTTCCAAAAGAACTGGTTGCTCTATAAAATGAAAGACTACTATAAGCATTAAAGTATGAATTTTGAAAATTTTATATAACTGTACAAAAAGATTTCATACATTGTATATTTAGGGGGAATACTGGATAATCTTAATTTTCTTTTTTAATTTTCTGTGTTTTCAGAGTTTTCCTACAATGAATATACTCAAATAGTTAATTTGAGTATGGTTAATGTTAGTGTTAATTAAGCAGAATTTAATACAGTGATACTAAGAGGAGTTCTATTTGAGTTCCCTCTTCATTTTATTTAAAAAAAAAAAAGGATCATTAATCACTTGTATAGTTAGAATGATACAACAACTTGAGAAAAGCTGGGTACTTAAAACTTAACTAATTAGAGCTAGTCTTAAACTGAGAGACTATCTACACATTATGGTATGTCATATATTTTTTAAATTCATATTTAACTTTGTTCTCCTTTTTAAGTTCATGAGTAATTTACATGAGTTAGTGGGTTTTGTTATTTAATTAAAAAAAAAAAGGAAGTCTATCTCCCCTTGGCCTCCCCCAAATTTCCCTGAAAAGTTTTGAGGATTAAATTAGCCTTTGGGAAATGTACTTAGTACTATATCTGGCACATAGAGATTCAGTAACAGCTACTGTCTGTTAACCATTAGTATATTTAACAGTTATTTATTAAATCACTATTAAAAATGTACCAAGCAGGCCTTCCCTGGTGGTGCAGCGGGTTAAAGCACAGCACTAAGAAGCTAAAGCCACTTCCGCATGAGTTCGATTCCCACCCAGGAGGTGACCCACAATGTGTGGCAGACCTCTCCTGACCCGATCGGTACTCCCCTCAGCAGTGTACTTCATTAATTTGCCTGTTCTCTGTCTCTGGTGAATCCTCTCACCACCCCTGTACCTCTGGCTTGTACCCAGCTCTATATACATAAAATAAATCTTTAAAAAAAAAAAAAGTACCAAGCCTTCTAGGTCACTGAGGTAGCTAGAGGACTAATACATGAGATTACATGAAAAAGCATTTTTTTTTTTTGCATTAAGAATATTTTATTGCTATATAACATTAGTTTTGGGCATATAACATAATGATTCACTATTTTGTATATGTTGAAATGATCGCCATAGAAGTCTAGTTAACGTCTATTACCACAAATAGTTTAGAAAGCTTTTCTTGTAATGAGAACTTTGAAGATCTACTCTTTAGCAATTTCAAAAATAGAATACAGTATTACTAACTACAGTCACCAGACAGTATATTACATCCCAAGATTCATTTTATGACAGGACATTTGTACCTTTTGAAACTGTTCACCATTTTGCCCATTCCCTACTTCTGACTCCACGAGTGTGTTCAGTCTGTAAGTTTAGTTGGAGGACGGGTAATTCTTTTTAAGATTCCACATATAAGTTAAATCATGCAGATGATGCAGTACTTGTGTTTCTCTGATTTTTGTGTGTGTGTGTATAAAATGATCTTAAAAGGCCAATCAATGTTGTTGTATTTAATTTTCATTTCCCTGATGATTAGTGATACTGAGCACCTTTGCATATACATGTTCATCTGTATGTTTACTTTGGGAAAATGTGTATTCAGTTTCTCTGGCCATTTTTTTAAATCAAATTGTTTGGGTTTTTTGCTATTGAATTGTATTAGTTCTTTTTGTATTTATATAATGTTATATATATATATATTTTATATTTTTATAATTTATATGTATTTCATATTTTACCCAACAATATATACCTTTGTTGGGTATGATTTGTGGTAAGTTTGTCTTTTTATTTTTTTGATGGTTTATTTTGCTGTGCAGAGCTTTCTAAGCAGTCTCTCTTGTTTACTTTTGCATTAGTTGCCTTTGTTTTTAGAGTCAAATCCAAAAAATCATCAAGGTCAATATAAGATGCTCACTACCTAAGTTTTCCTCTAAGAGTTTCTTATCTTACATTCAAGTCTTGAATTAGTTGAGTTAGTTTTTGTTTATGGTATAGTTATGATGGTTCAATTATGTTCTTTTGCCATTGGCTGTCACAGTTTTACCAACACCATTCATTGAAGCAAATTTCTTTTCCTCGTGTGTATTCTTGACTCTGTTGCCATAAGTTAATTGGATATATATATATATATATGTATGGATGGATGGATGGATGGATGGATTTACATCTCAAATTTATTATGTTCCATTGAGGCATCTGGGTCTGTTTTTTGTGTCATTGCCATACTTTTATTACTGTGGCTTTGTACTATCATTTGAAACTAGAATGCATAATGCCTCTCGTTATGTTCTCAAGATTACTCTTTCAGGATTATTTATTCACCATCTTTTGTGATGCCATGTAAATTTTAAAATTACTCTCTTTCTTGAAAAAATCCTTTAGAATTTTGATAAGGATTGCGGTAAATCTATAAGTTGTTTTGGGTAGTTTGGACTTTTAGTTTTGGAGTTTTAAAAAATTATTAATTTTTCAAATCCCTTTTTGTTTGTGTCTTCAGTTTCTTTCATCAGTATCTTACATTTTTCTTTGTATAAACTTTTCACCTCCTTGATTAAAATTATTGCTATATATTCTCTCTGAAATTCACTACTAATCTACAGATAGACAACAAAATTTTACATTGATTTTTGTATCCTAGAATTTTATCAAATTTGTTTAACAGTCTTTTAGTGTAGGGAGTCATTGGGGTTTTCTGTATGTATGTGTTATGTGAAGAAGCATTATTTAAAAAGATGAGTAGGCCCTCCCTGGTGGCGCAACGGGTAAGGATGCAGCACTGCAAGCTAGCCGCAGCCACTTCTGTACGAGTTCAAGCCCCAGCCAGAGGTGATCAACATGGCACAGCAGACCTCTCCTGACCTGCCCACTGCTCCCCTCAGCTTTGTCAAACTGCCTGTTCTGCTCCCCACTCTGTCTCTGGTGATCCTCTCACTGCCCCTGCATCTCTGACCTGTAACCCAGTTCAGTATGCATAAATAAATAAATCTTTTTTTTTTAAATGATAATATTAACACAAAGGGCTCCCTAGAGGCTTAAAGGTTATATCTCAGTGCTTTCACCACTTGACCTGAGTTCAATCCCCAGCCAGGGAGCTAACCTACATATGGTCGGCAGATCTCTCCTTTATATTTCCGTATATTTCAACACAGTGTTTCAGTCAGTCTGCCTGTTCTGCTCACCACTTTGTCTCTGCTGAATTCTCTCATCCCTTGTACTCTTGGCCTACATCCCAATTCTATGCAATAAATATATCTTTAAAAAAAAAAATCACTAAACCCTAAAAACTATACTTCAGGATATAGACCTAGTTTCAGTTACAAGTTTAAGCACTGTTGAAGGTAGTGGGAGCATAAAATCTATACATCTAATATTGGAATATGGTAAAAGTTTGCATATCCTTGGAATTTTACTTATATGCTTGTTTGGAGATGTGTAAAATGAGATTATGTATAAGGATAATCAGTACAGTATTGCTTACATTACCAAGAGATTAGAAAAACTCTAACTCAGAAGGATTGACAGTTTACCCTTTATGTATTCACTATGCAGCTAGCAAAAAGTAAGCGCATTTTTTCTGTTCTAGTAAAGGTTATTCTTGAAGATAGATTTTTTTTAAGTGGAAAAAAGTTATGAGATAATACAATAATTACTATTATTTATTTTTTAAATGTATTTGTAAGTGTATATACCTTACTGCATATTTATAGAATAGAAAATATACACCAAAAAATTATTGTAGTTATTGCTTAGGAGAAAGAGTCATGTGAAAGGAGATGAATCATGCTCTTTTTGTACCTACAGAGTGTTATCCCAGTGACACTCTTACTTTACATTTATGTCCATGTGTGTTATACATGTTAATATTATGATTAACTATAATTTCTTGAGGATAATAAGAATGTCATCAATTAGATTGTTCAGAAGTTATATATCAAATTAGTCTTCAAGTTCCAAATAATAAAAAAATTTCTCATGAAATAACTTATTTTTATTACACAGTCACAGTATGTTCTTATTATTTTGATTAATGAAAAATGAAAAACTATCAATACTCTAGATTTCTGTTTTTGTTTTTTTTATATAATATACAACTTTTCTTTTCTCCTTTATTATACGTGTTAATCTTTTATTAATTTGGGGGTATAATCGCATATGTATACAACTCTGTCAGTTATCATCATTACTTTTGTGTGAAGAAAGTCTCTGATTAAAATGTAAATATTTCTAATAAGAATGATTACCAATTTAAATAAAAATTTTTAATATTTTAATGTTCATACTTAATGATTGTATTAATCTTAAGTCTTCAAAAATCCATAATCATGTTTTCCATTTATTATTAGTATTTGTTTAAAAAAGGAACTTTACAAACACTTAAAAATATTCCTATTACACATTGGTACCAGCATTGTGTAAACTCCACTTTTTTTAAAAAACAGATCATTACTCCTTGCTGATCTTGACAAAGAAGAAAAGGAAAAAGACTGGTATTATGCTCAACTTCAGAATCTCACAAAAAGAATAGATAGTCTTCCTTTAACTGAAAATGTAAGTAACTTGGAAATATGACTTATTTTAGACTTTAACAACTTCACTTTTACTAGTACCTAGGTTAGCCATTAAAATTTCAAAATTACTGCATTGATAGTTATTTTTAAAGTATATGTTTATCAAGATTCAACTAGATACCTGGTTTTTTATCCTGAGTTGAATTACCAAAGCATATTCTAAAAATGTTTTATCACCACCTGTCTACTTCTTAAAACTACATTACAGGAATCATGTCATATAATTTTTGTAATAAAATTATCTGAATATAATTTGAGTCCTATTCTAGTTATTACAAATAACACTAGTTATTATCATGGATTTTAGAACTTTTTGCTAAAGCAAAAATATTCTTACTTTGCAAGTATGGCTATGTAAAAAGAATTTATTCTTGTCAACTTCTCCCACCCAACCTGTCCCTGTCAGCTCCTTCTTTCATGGAATGGCACATACAGAAGGATTTCTAAAACATATTATTAATTTCAGACAACAGTGTATTTCCATATATGTCCATAGATAAAATGTATTCTCCTCTCCCAGCTTAGATTTTTCATTTTCTAATAGCACTTGAGGAAATAGAATAAACCAAAAAACAAAAGTAGGAAGAAGGAAGATTGTTTCTAAAACATATACTTAGCCTGATTTTCTGGATGGGCATTTTCTGGCAGGAGCGAGAACTAGAAGTTTTAAGTGCTTATTCTCTTAGAACTGTCATCCAGCTTTTGAGAGGAAGAGAAAAAGACCCCTGTCTTTGACAGTGTCTTTAATATCTTCCCAGGAGTTAAAGAGACACAAATAGTGAACAAATGCTTATTGGAAAATGAAGCTTTGTTAACCATTCATTTTGATAATTAGAGTATACATAATTTCAGTGGACTATGGTTGAGGACTATAAATGCTTTGGTGGTTACATATGGGATGGTAACACATCTGAAGAGATGTCAGCCTATATCCTTGAATCATTCGTGTTATAAACCAGTGTTACCTCAGTTTCAAAAAAATAAAACAGGAAAGAATATATACAATGTAGAGTTCAACTATGTACATGTAGTCAAATTTAGGAAAGGGCAGAGATGTATATGACCACTCAAAAGCAATTGGTTAATAACTGAAACAAAGATCAGTTGTCATGTATTCCTTTATCAATTCATTAAATAAACAACCATGTTTATTTAATATCATATATAAGAAATTATTATGGAGTATTTGACAACTTTATCAATCTTTATTGCATAGATATTTTCTAATTCACAAATTAGAAAATTTTGCTTTCATTTGGGAAGCCAAGTTAACACTTTCATATGCAAATACTTACCAAGATCTTAGACATTGTTTAAAACATCATATCTAAACCACATTATTGCAACATACAGTTGTTGCATAGGGAAATGGGAGACAAATAAGTAGAATAGTAATTGGCTCATTGGGGATTAGAAATAACAGGTAGACCATTTTACCTATATTGCAGGCCTTAATTTGGGTAAGCCTATACAAATACATTTAATACTTGAATGTCATTGTATATTGCAAGAAAAAAGAGTGAGAATTTCTCTAACGTAAAACCATGCAATTTGTGATCCTTGTGCCTATAGAGTTCTGAGTCAGAAATGTGTCAAACACAAATTTAATGGGCATTAGAGCATACTTCATTTTTTTCCGTGGCCCATTGTAACTGTAATCATTTCATCTAATCACATATCCTTTTTTACCTGTTGGAACATGTGTTTCATTATCTTAATTGATTTTATACTTTTTATGCCTACCAATTATCAGTGCTTGGGCAGTCAATTAGTGGGTTAGTAAATTTTTTAATGGATCAACACCCTTTATGAGTGAAGGTACTTCTTTGCATTTGTTTCAACTTATCTTTAGTCTTGGATTTTTACCAAAAAGTTTGTTGGCTTTGCCCTAACAATCTATGGTTATTTATATTTACAGAAAAGTTATTTTTTTCTTAGCCAATTTTCTTCATTTTACAAATGAATAAGTCTTTTTAATCTGCATGTTATAGCATTGTTACTGTACATTGAGATATAAACTCAAGGATGATGGATTTTTTTTAACTTGTAAGTTTTCCACATTTATTTGTTGGGTTTAGTTAGTAAAAGTAATGTTTTCATCAGCAAAGAAGAATCGTGACGGAACTGAAGATAGGCTCACCCTAGTGGACCGACTATGTATTTTAAATGAAATGGTACAATTGAATTAAAACCATTTGTGACTGTGTAACAACAGAGTGCTTCAACTTTTCAAGTCAGGGACCCAGTCTGAGTGTTAGTACTCTGTGGAATAAAGCAGTTTTCTGACAGTAATTTTTTTTGTTTTCTTTATTGGTTTTATGTTTTATTTTTGTTCTTGATGATAAATATACATTCACAAGATAACTAACAATTCCTTCATCTGTGCTTTCAGTTTTCCTTACAAACGGATATGACCAGAAGACAATTGGAATACGAAGCAAGGCAAATCAGAGTTGCAATGGAAGAGCAGCTAGGTACTTGTCAGGATATGGAAAAACGAGCACAGGTAATGTCTTTATTAAACTGTAAAACATCACTAGGTAGAGAAGAGCTCATATAACTATGTATAATGACTTTACCTCCGTTAATTAAATTATATTGTTTAAGATACTTATATATCTGTCTTCACCTTTACTGTTTAAAAACAAAAATAATTTACTGTGGCCACGAATAATTCATCTAAGTATGCTTCTACCATATTGTATTACCCTGACACTGCCCATAGTGCTTTGAAATTGTAAGAAGATAAAAGAATAGATGCAGGTCATCTATAGCTGATAGCTAGCTTGAGTGCTCCTTTGAGATTCTTACTTCTTACAATCTAAATATGTATAATGACATTCAGAATATGTCACTGCTCTCTAGTTGTACACTGGGGGAAAAAAGAAAGTATTCGAAGTGATTAAATGAGATGGATGGAAAACAGTCCTGTATTTCTATTCTCAACTAATATCAAGATAAAATAGGAACTTGCTTTACTACTTTAAGTATTTTCATATTACTATTTTTGAGCCTGGTCCTTTTATAATTCCTACAAGTGTTTGACTGACTAATGTTTTAAACCCTGAAGAAGATTGCCTTTATTGTTTTAAAACAACATGAAGAATTTAAGAAAAATCTTTGGGGACCAATGGGAAAGAAAGTATTACTAGAAACATTAAAGAGAATATAAAAGCAAGGACCAATAAATCCTGTGTGTAGTATTATAACACTTTTATATTATGAAAAGTTTTTTTGTAGCTTTAAAATAACTGATATTTACATTCTCCGAAGTGTACTCTTTATCTTTTATGTCGTAGCATCCTAAATACAATGTATATTCTGTTAGAGTATGGTGCTAGCCAACGATGACATTTAGTCACCAGCACCATGGTACACTTAAGGCCTTTTCGTTTCACAGTTAACCAGATGCTTGACTAATAAGTCCAATTTTTAATTAGTAACATTGCAATATTTTTATATAAAATACTCTTTTTCTATAAACTCCCTTCATCTTCAATCCTTTCAAGTTATTGTCCTTTTTTAAAAAATATTTATTTATTTATGCATACAAGAACTGGGGTGCAGGCCAGAGGTACAGGGGGATTAAAGGATTCACCAGAAACAGAGTGAGGAGCAGAACAGACAGATACACTAAAATACACTACTGACATGAACAGTGGGCAAGACAGAAGAGGTCTGCTATACCTTGTGGGATACTTCCCTGGTCAGGGATCGAACTTCTGCAGCAGAGGCTGCAGATAACTCAATAGTGCTGCACTTTAGCACATTGTACCACCAGGGAGGGCTCTCAAGTTACTATTTTAAATGCCAAAAGTAAAATTTTAGAAATAGACCCTTGTAGAAACACATATGAATATCATTCCAATATTAGGGTAAGAAAGCATTTAAGTCAAAACTCACATTTTTTTTTAAGATGTATTTATTTATTCATACAGAACTGGGGTACAGGCCAGAGATGTGGAGGGTGAGATGCTTCACCAGAGACAGAGTGGGGAGCAGAACAGACAGATCGACGAAGTACACTGCTGAGGGGAACAGCGAGCTGGTCAGGAGAGGTCTGCCACGCCTTGTGGATCGGGGAAGGCGGGGATCGAACTCAGGCGGAAGTAGCTTTTGATTCTTAGTGCTGTGCTTTAACCCACTGTGCCACCAAAGTGGGAGGGCCCACTTTTTTTTTTTAAGCTTTATGTATTTATGCATACAGAACTGGGTACAGACCAGAAGTGTGGGGGGTAAGGGGGTGAAGAGGGTTGGTGAAAGGATTTACCAGAGACAGAGTGGGGAGCAGAACAGGCAGATTAACCGAAATATACTGTTGAGGAGAGCAGCAGGCAGGTAGGAGAGGTCTGCCACACCATATGGGTCACCTCCCTGACCATTGATTGAATTTGTGCTGCAGTGACAGCATATAGCTTCATAGTGCTGTGCTTTAACCTGTTTCACCACCAATGAGGGCCCAAAACTCACATTTTTAAAGAAAAGGTATATAATTTTACTGTATTAAATTAATATCTCCTTCAGGCACCTTAAAGAAATGAAAAAATAAGTTATAAATTGGAAAAAGATAATTATTACCATATAACTGACAAAAGAAATAAAATCAAGAATATATAATTTTAAAAAATATATTGTATTTAAAATATATTGTATACTAAAATTATATAGTATAATTATCATTTGAGATTTCACAGTTAGTTTAAAATGAAAGGCAGGTTTGTTTGTTTCCAGAAAAAGTATAAGAAATGTTAACTTGGTTTGTATGAGTT